TCCCCCTAGAACCTTATGTAACAGAGGTAAGACTTGTTGATTCATAGTTAGTCTTTGGTTTTTATAAGTAAGAGGTACATGAGCAGTTTGCCAGTTCAGAGATATGATCCTGGTCTTGAGTGACTGGATCGCATTGCTGCTTTCCTTTCATACAGCTGGTAGAAGAACATCGGCTTCTGGACGTGTATACTGTGCTTTAATACTGCTGGGTATAAAACTTTTAAAATAATACATATAAAACTCTTTCCTGAGCCTGAAGTGGCCTCAGGCATGTTGTCAAGTTTCTCCCTGGTAAGCACCTGAGTACAATAATCCCCAGTATTTTCTCTGGCACGCTTAAAGGGGAACTGCAACATTATTTTTATATTTCGGGGTTTGAAAGAATCAGCATTGATGAGTGCATTTCAAGCTGCCATGAAAGTACACTAACTTGTAAAAGCCTGCAGACTACATTTCCAGGTATGCGCAGCGCCGTGTTCTGCGATTCAGAACGAGTCAGGAAAATGTCTGGTAACGTGAAGTGGCCTTATTACATTGGAAATAAGCAAGCTTGTGAAGATATCTTTTTTTTTTTTAACTCGGTAGAAATATTACTCTTGACTTCAAGATGGTTTTGTCGATAAATACTGTTTAACTCTTAACTCTGCACGCAGATCGTGTTGGAAACTTTCTGCTGTATAGCCTGTATTTACACACTCGTGTGTCACATTTCATTCGTTATCAGAGTGACTAGTGAGCAGGAGGGGCCACATCAGGTCACGATTCTCACAAGCTCTCCGGGGGTCCCGGGGTTTGTGACAACATGGTGACTTTGAGTACTTTCCGAAAGTTCTTGTTTGCTCTTAATTCGAAATTTATTTAATTCATTTTGTTACAGAGATTTAAGAACTGGTCTGAACATATGAGGGCTGCCGTATGCCTTTAATGCTTCACCATTGTTTTGAAGTTGTATACTGAGAGTGTTATCTCCCATCTCTCTTGGACTTTAATATCTTCATAAACCTGTGCTTGAAATTCTTTGTACTCCATTTCTTTTCCTGCATGGAAAATTCGATTCTATTTTTTTTTTATCGTTTCACAAAGTGCTTCCTTACACTATGGTGGACGTGCAGTAAGCTGACTACAAGTATTTGTTACACCTGGGCTCTGGGCACCCGTGCACGAGCCCACCCCACCGGGCTCTGGGCACCCGTGCACGAGCCCACCCCACCGGGCTCTGGGCACCCGTGCACGAGC